GTAAAGGACCTAGGCTTCCCAAGGTCCCAGCCCTCAGCTTGTGCACCACTATCAGCACCTTCACTTTCTTCTGGCTCACCACAAGGAAAGGTAATCTATTCCTGGACTAACTAAATCAGTGCCTTGGGACAGCTATAGTGCTGGGGTAGGGACCAGAGTACAAGGCAAGGTTTTCCTGGGAAGATAAGTATAACCATGTTTCTCACAGTGACTGGGCTTATAGATACTATTGTCTCTGACTTCTAGATCATCCTTCTTCTCTGGAGTAGCACAATAGGCATGTCTCTGGACATACACAGTGTTCAAGAATAGGAGTGGTGATGGGGCTTCTCTGTTGATCTGTATGTTTGGGCGTACTGTCAACTATTATCTAGCATTTTGCTATATGCTGTGGAGCACTAAGTGAGATCTGTATCACACATATACATATATAATTATATATATGTAAAATTTCAGTTCTCACAATCTGTGAAGTAGTGAGGTAGATAGTAATATTGTCGGTATTTTTTAGGTGAAGAAATTGAGTCTTTTCCCAAAGTCACACAGCTAGTAAGTGATGGAACTAGGATTCAACACAGGAAGACTGGCTACAGAGTCTGTGCTTGCAAGCACTATGCTATATTTTGTGTGTGTGTGTGTGTGTGTGTGTGTGTGTGTGTGTATTACATTGATCTAGTTCCTGAAGCCCTTATCACTGCTCCAAGAAGTAATTTACTTCATTTTAATTTAAAGCAAAGATGAAAACAACATTATCCTGTCCAAACCATTCTTCCTCTTGCATGGGAGAGGGGTGCTTCCTAAAAGGAGTGAGACCAAGAGAGTTGCTTTGAGCCAAAAGCTGCCTTGCAGTTTAGCTGAGGCAGGATTCAGAAATGGCGTGAACAGTGCCTGCATTAGCCGATGGCATGGAGTGCTGAGTGCCAGCAGAGGAGATAAAATCGGACATATGTTTGGATATAAATGTTCCTCTCTCTCTTTTTTCTAATTTTAAGCCCCTGCTGCTTTGTTGCAGTGAAATGATGGAGCCGTTAATTATAGGCCCTGGCCCCCTGAGGTAGAAGCCTGGGGTAAGGCCCACTTAGCCCTCTCCCAGTCTTTAACCATTACTACAGAAGGAAGCCAGAGACCATGGACTCCGACCCTCTTCCCAGACAACAATAGGAATTGTCTTGCCAGGGACTCGCTGCTGGTGGTTTCACCCAGCACCCAGCAAGTTGCTGGCCTCAATACATGTTAAATAGCCATGATAAAGCTAATGTCTCTAGGCCTTAGAAACTAGCCTATCTACCTTTACCTCCATTGATAATAGGATCCAGCTGAAGGCTGTTAAAAAGCCCTATAGAAGTGGCAGCTACAGCATGGCACTTAAAGAGCTAGAGCTGGGGTAGATACGGTGGAGAAAAGGAGTGAAAGAGCCTCCCACTATTCTCATTGTTGGGCCAGGTAAGCAAAAACCGCTCCATTATGGGGGAACCTCTGTGGTCCAGTAGGTGTTTTAAGACCTCCTCTACACTGCAGAGTTTCCAAGGCTGGAAGGAGGCCAAGCCACCTTTTCTCACTGTAATACACCAAGTCTTATCTAGTTCACTCCTTCCCCTTTAGCTGTCACCCCCTGTGGGATCCTGCAGTTTCTGTCTGCCATTGGGCCTAAGAATCAGGAAACTGTTATGTACAGTCCTGATAATCTAACCCCTTAGCACCTGTGGAGCCCCTGTAGTCAGGCCTTAGAGGGCAGGAGAGCCAGTTCTAAAGAGATTGAACAGCTCTAAGAGGGATAAGAGAACACAGACATATCTTAGGAAGGGCCCGTTTTAACTGTGTTTTGCTAGTTAAGTATGTTCTTGATAGCCAATAGCAGAGAGAAAGCACATTGACTTAGGGGTCAAGAGACCTGGGCTTTTAGTCCCACCTCCTCCACTAGCAGTGTGACCTTGGATATGTCTTTTAATTTCTCTGGGGCTCAGTTTCTTTGACTGTAAAATGTGAAAGTATTAGACTAAATGATTTTTCATGGCTTTCAGTTCTATAATGAAAATTCTCTAACTGCGTATCATCAGCAAGAGTCTTTACATCCAACATGTTGCTATAACTACCCCCCGACGAGCTACCAACCCGTGTTCCATTCCTAAGTAACAAACCTTGGCCAGGCCAAGGATGAGTCACCAGCATTCATGGCTGCATTTTTGGTACGCACGGGATGCCTCTCTGAAAAGCTGTCCCAAGTGCCTGCTACAGAGGAGGATATACCATGATAGCAAAGGAAGGTTACTGCTGTAAAAGTTGAAACTGCACGGATCAAAGGGCAGGCCTGCTGGGGTAAGGAACTCTCCTGGCAGCTCTGAGGATACTTAAATCTAGGATCCATATTCTTAGTCTCCCCCAATTCCTTTGAGGATCCTTTGAAAAGTCCTTCTCCCACAGATTGGAGCTGAATATAGTCTTCCTTGGGACAAATGCATTTGTCCATAGGACTCTTTCCCAAGATTGTTTTAGGCCCATTTCTGTACCTCACCCCTCAGACTGTTAGCCACAGACCCTTAGTCATTGCAGAGTTACTGCATAATTCCCTGTCTGCTCAAATAGCTGTCAAAAAAAAAAAAAAAGAAGAGTGTTAGGAAATTGGCTCCTCATCCTCTATTTCTGAAACAGCAACTTCCTCCGCAATTTCCTCTGAATGCATACCCAGGAAGCTGTTTTAAACAGCCTGAGTTGTGTCTTGTGGCACTAGGAAAGGGAGTAATTTCTTGCTTTTTCACCTGGTCCTAGCCAAGTCCCACCCTTTGCTCTCCTGCAGTTTTCTTTTTTATTGGGGGTATGGTGGTAAAGGAGAGGCAGGAGGAATGGATCTTTGGTGGCTAGAACTGTGAGTGGCAGTTTATAAGTGTGTGCCCATACATATGTGCTGGCACACTGATACCCAGAAATGATGTATATACCCAGGAGGATTAAGAATTGGCCCTTAGCCAACTGCTGCAAAGTGGAGCCTGCCTCTCTTTCCTTCCTCAGTTCCAAAGAGTTCACACCCACTCAGTCCCAATTCTCTGCATTAGTATAAATACTAGCACTAAAGAAGTGCAGGGTCCTGATTCATGCAGCCTCTCTGGACATTATTACTCGGTAAGCATCAAGAGACAGACACGTACCACGAAGACATGTTTGGATTATTTAGCACCCAGAGAACAGAAGCAACACTGCCTGTCGGAAATTTAAGCCAAACTACATTATTACAGACCTCTGAAATCCAGGTCCCCCAGGGTCCTCGGGTAGAGCTGGTGCTGCCTGACCAGCAGCTTCTGCTGAGGTGGCATTTAACTTTTGGCCAGGTCCCAGGAGCTGAGGCTGACCCATTTCCCCTGCTTTTCCAGGGCACAGGGAATTTGGTTATACCCCCAACAAAGCCAGGGACTAACACAGTTAGCTTGTGGAAGGTGCACTAGAATCGGGGTGCTTTTATTTAAGCTAAGGAAAGGTTATTAACAGCTTTAGCATTTTCCCATACTTGAAAATAATTTAACATTTGTCTTTCCCCCATCATACCTCTACCCTCCCCTCCCCGCTTTTTTATTAAATAGAAATGATTGGCTCATAAGAATCTATAGGTTCAGGGTCTTATTCAATTTAACCCTTTGGGGACATTGAATTAAAAATTCAACAATATTTATTAAAATACAAAAATACACTTTTCTCACATTACAATCAGTGTTCTTTTGTTGGCAATTCCCCACCCCACCCCCACCCATACCACCCCCTTTCAAATCTGAACCCCTTATTTCCTTTTAAAGCTAAAGTAATAACTGAAAGAAGTTACATCATTAAATGGACCAGAATAACAGAGATCTCTGCCTTCCCCACCCACGCCCACCCTTTCTCTTTCACCTTCTCCTGAGGTGGCCTGGGAGAGGGAAGCTTCCCCTCAGTGTGCTCCATTCAACAGGACCCCATGTGGAACTCCATGTGTGCATGCGTGTCACTTGTAACTGTGGCTCTCAAGCTTTTTTGTGAACCCTCCTGGTTGGGAAAGGCTTCATTACTTTACATGAGCCTGTACCCTTTTCGTCTCTCCTTTTTCTTTGCTACTCATGTTCTGCCCCCACCCCATCACCACAACCGGTTGACATCAACTGTAATAGTCCCTAATGAATCAGCATTTAGAAAAGTCACCAAACCACAAGCATGAGAAAAGCTTCCACTCCCAAGCTCCCCACTTCAGGCTTCTCCTCCCTCTCCACCTTAAAACAAAATCTTTTTTAAAAATCATAAAATGCCATCATTGTCTACAATCATTTGTCAAATTCCAGGAACAACAGGTGGACATGGCACAATGCTAATTTATGGCCTCCTGTGAATACATTCTCTCTGCTTTACCCTCCCTTCCCACCCCCCTGCTGCCGCACCCCTTCAGGGGCCTCCTCCTCCTGGGAAACCCTGAATAGACACATGCCTTGCAGAGTGGGTTAAGCCCAACTGCAGGAATCTGGTGCAATGTGAAAGCATTAGGCTGAGAGCTACGCCAGCTCCCATCCTTCTCTGCTCCTTCCTAAGCATTCTGTCAGGCAAGGCACACGTGTGTCCCAGTGCACAGACCCCCAAGACTTGTGCACATGGACAAAGACTCAGCCCCTTTAAGGGTTCATTTGAATTTTGGTGGTTTTCCTGCTTAAAATACATGTACAGATCTATCTTCCCCTTAGCCTCTGAAGAAAAATATTATTGCCACTAACATTTTGGCACAGTACAAATTCATGGTGCTTTTTTTTGTATTTTTTAAATAAGATAATTCTGCAAAGACAGCTCTCGGCTTAAGAAAGATGTCTGTAGAAATTGGTATTCCTGTGTCCTATGAAGCATCTTCTAAAAAATGACAAGTTCAGTCTATCCCTCTTGCCCCCTCAGCAGCCCACATCCTACCTCTTTAGGGATGTTTGTTGTTTTAGTTTATTTTATCTCAGCAATTTCAACCTTATACCAGAAATCCCGTCTGGCAGCATAGCAAGTTAACTTGTGGCTTGTACCCCACAACATTCCCAAGATTCCCCCCCACCCCCTTTAAATAGAACTTACAAGTTAGAAAATATTTTTGTTTTGACTTTTTGTTTTTAAATTTTAATATAATCTGTTTTAACCAGCCCATAGATTTAATATATAAGCATATACAAGAAAAAGTCTCTCCCCACTCTGTACAAAAGTTGCTGTCTTTGTGTGCATTCTATTGCATTTTATAAGTTTTTGGGGGGAGGGGAGTCATATTTGAGTTTCCTGTACCTTGTCCTTGGTATGGGTCTGAATTATATAAGGTTCAGAGATAGTGGTGACTGTGGGGTGCAGAGAGTTCCCCAGGCTGTTTTCTGTCCAGTGGGCCCCATGTGCTGGTTTGTAGGTGTTGTAGTTAATATGGTCATGAATTGTGGGCAGCACTACTGCCCCCTCACCTGATACACCGGACGGAGCTGCTGTTGCTGCTGCGGATGTTGCTGCTGGGATGTCTTCGTCCACCTGGATAATCTCAACAGTCCGGGCGGCTGTGACTGTACTCCGCTGCTGGTGCCGCTTACGAAGTTTATAGAAGACAATCAACATGGCGGCAGCTAGCAGAGTCACTGCCACAAAGCAGCCAATTATGATCTTGGTGGTCTTCATGACTTCATCCAGACTGGTCTGCATCTTGTCAGTGGTGTCTGTCGCGGGTACTGCCACCTGCTTGGGCACACGGGTGGTCTGAATGAGCACCGTGGTAGAGGTGGTATATGCCGGCTGGTAACCAGTGGACGTGGTAGGAACAGGCTTGTACTTTCGCGTTGTGTCCTCAGGCGAGATCTCCGTGGTCTCCACTGTTACTGTGGTGAAGAAGCTGTAGTTGGAGGTGTTGAGCTCGGCCGTGCTCACATTTAGGTAGGCCGAGGCGTTGGAGTTGCCTGCCACATTGGTCACCATGCATGTGTATACCCCAGTGTCTGAAAGCAGCACGTGGGAAAAGTTCAAGGTGCCGTCGTTGAGGACAGAGATCCGTGGGTGGCGGGAGGCGTGGCTGAGCACTGTCCCATTGGGCAGCAACCACTTCACGGAGGACATAGGGGGAGTCCGACACTTAAGTTCTGCCATCCGACCCTCAGAAATATTAAGGTCTCGAGGCGCATCCATGATGAAGGGGGCAGAGCACTGGAAAGAGGCCTGGTCCACCTCCACGAGGTAGCGGCCTCGCATGTGCATGGGAGCATGACAGCGGCCACAGCAGGTGGAATTGGTGGGTATATACTCTCGAAGCCACCAGGCTAGCCACAGAATGTCACAATCACAGTTCCAAGGATTGTGGTGTAGGTGCAACTCCACCAGGTACCTCAGCGGGGTAAAGAGGTCATGGGGCAAAGAAGAGAGGTTATTGTGGGCCAAGTTGAGTTCCACAAGTGAAGCCAGCCCGTCAAAAGCATTCCGCTCAATCAGGCTGACCTGTGAGTTCATGACCCAGAGCTTCTTGAGGGAGCTCAGGCCATGGAAGGAGCCAGGCCTGATCTCAGGGAAGTGGTTCCCTGACATCTCCAGCTCCTCCAGCCCCACCAGGGGGGTGAGATTGGGCATGTCTTTAATGTTGCACATGCCCAAGTTCAGGTATTTGAGGTTGAACAGCCCCTCAAAAGCTCCCTCAGAGATATACTCCAGCTTCTTGAGCTCCCCCAAGTCCAGGCGCATGAGGGAGGGCACCCGGTTGAAGGCGTAAGAGGGGATGCTTTCGATGGGGTTGTTGCGAAGCCAGAGCTCCCGCAGCTTGGACAGGTATTCAAAGGCCCCGCTAGGGATGACTGTCAGCCAGTTGTCGAACAGCTCCAGGGTGTTGAGGCTGGCCAGGCCATTGAAGGCCCCCACCTCAATCTGCCGGATGGAGTTCCTGCCCAACTGCAGGACCTCCAGGTGGTGGAGGTGGCGGAAGGTGTCGGCCTGGATCATCTGGATGTTGTTCTCCATGAGGTTGAGGTACCGGGTGTTGGAGGGAATACCCTGCGGGACCTCGGAGAGGCCCCGGCGGGTGCACACCACCTTGCTGAACTGGTTACTGCACGAGCAGACAGAGGGGCAGTTCTGGGGCCCGGCTGAGGCGGCAGCAGCGATGGCTGCACACAGTATCCACACTTGCGCCGTGAGGTAGACGACCGGGAGCAGGATGGCATTCCAGGTGTGGTGGTGCACAGTTACCTGCCACAAGAGCTTCATGGTGTGGCACGTTCATAATTCACCATCGCCTGGGATTTTGGCTCGGAAAGGAGAACCAGCCCTACCCCGGCTTAAGTGAGCTAGGAGCTCCTCTTTCCATCTGGAGAAGGAGGTGGGGAGGGGGCGATTAGAGAGACGGAGCGCATCGGCCGAAAAAAATCCTGCTAAACTCGAGCGGCCCCTCGTCTCCCAACCCACCCTCAAGGCAAGCCCTCCGAAAGCTACGACTCTCCCACACTGCAACCGTCCCCACCCAGTTCGCCGTCACCTACCTCGGAAGGAAGGCAGGAAAACACTGGCGTGGTGTCCTTAAGCTTTCTCCACGGGAGCTGGGCACCTCGTTCCCATTCCGACTTCTTAGTTTTAATTAACAAAAGGGGGAAGTGGTGGGGGCGGGGAGGGCAGAGGGGAGGGGAGGGGAGGGAAGGGGTGGGGGAGACAAAATGGCTTCTAGTAAATCCGGAGCCTGAGCCGGCGAAGCCGCGGAGTTGAGGCGCGCCTGGGAGAGCGAAGGCCCGGCGGGCTATGCAGGTGCATGCCCCCCCCTCCGCCCGAGGAGCGGCGCCACCAGCGCTTCCCGGCTTTGTCCTTGGACCCTGGCACGGGCTCGCTCCAGCCGCGGGAGAAGGCGCTTCATCGCCAAAGTGCGCTCCGGCGGCCCCGGCCCGCTCCCCGGGCCGCCGCCGGAGGGGGTGCGGGGGCGCCCCGAAGCCGCCCAGGCCGCGCTCGCTCGATGCTGCGCTCCCTCTCCCCGCGTCGGCCGCTCCGGGCCGGCGGCAGCTGATTGCGGTCGTGAGCTCGCAGGGCGGCGAGAGTTAAGAGGTGTTGGCGGCGCCTTCGCCCTCCCCAGACACACACCCCCTTTCTCCTCGCCTCTTCTCGGAGGGTGGAAGAGACAAAAACCGGGCTCAGTTCTCCAGTCCGCCGGCTGCCGGCGCGCGGGGCGGCGATCCGTCAGGCGCCCGAGGGCCAGCGGCGTGGCGGCTGCGCCCGGACCCGGTCCGCCGGCCGGAGGAGCGCGAGGCGCCCGCGGTCGCGCCTGCACCACAGGCCCCTTCAGAGAGTCCGGGGGCGGGCGCGGGTCCGGCGGCGGCGGCCGCAGCCCCCGGCGGCGCGCAACCGCCCGTCGCCGCCCGCCGCTGCCCGGCCCCCGGCGCGCCGCCGGCTCCGGATTTGTGCGGAGGGAGCGAGTTCGCGGCTTTGGCTCCCGGCGCCCTCAGTGGCCGCGCCGCCAGCGGACTGCTGCAGCGGCGTGAGCAGCGGGGGTCGCGGCTGCGGGAAACGCTCCGGAGCCCGGGAACATAGTCCCCGCTGGCTAGCGGCGACGGCGGCAACAGCGGGGCTCCTGTGCGCGGCGCCCACCGTCTCCTCCTCGCGCCGGGCTCGCGGTGTTGCAGGCGGCAGCCACGCAGACTGCTCTCTCATCCTTTTGTCCTTCAGTCAGAACGTGAATGTACTGCTGACGCATACTGTTCTGGGAGAAGATTAGCGTGATGCAGTGCTCTTATGTATTAGCGCTGCTCCCCCTCCGCCGGCTGCCTCGCGGGGTTAACGCCGGCGCCTTCCAGCGCCGCGCCGGCCGGCGCCGCGCAGCCCCGCGCCTCCGGCCGCCCGTCTTCCTCCTTCCTCCTTCCTTCCTCCTCGCTTCCTCTCTCCCCCTCCCCCCTCCCCCCTCCCCGGGCCGCTTCCTCCCCGCCCCCTCTAGACGAGCGGAGCGGGGCCAGGGCGAGCGGGCGAGCGAGCTGGAGTGAGCGTCAAGTGAGGGGCCGCGCGCAAGTCGCGGGCGTTCGCAGCTATTTTGGGCCGGTCGGAGGGAGCCGTTGGGTGGCCGCTGATAGGCTGGAGCGGCGCGGGGCTGCGGCGGGAGAGCCTTCACCGGCCCCCGCCCTCTGGCCCGCACCCAGCGTCCCCTGGCTGTGGAGAGCGGGGCTCAGGGGCCCGGCGGCCCGCGGCGGGGCCGCTGCAGTTGGCCTGCCTCCCGCCCGGCCCGCGTCATCCTCACCCCCGCCGACTGCTGACGGGGCGCCTCGCCGCGCCGCGGACTCGCGCTCGGAGTTCGAAACTGCGTGGTGGGGACTCGGGGGAGGGCGGTGGGGGCCACGAGGCGCCCCGGACCGAGAGCCCGGGCTTCGCTGCTGCACTGCCGCCGGCCCCTCCTTCGCTCTGCCTCACCCCTCGTGGGTTCTCACTGGGGCTTTAAATGAGAGTTCCCTTAATGAGGGTTGCGGGGGCGGGAAACAGTGGCAGGAATGACCAAGTGCGACGAGCTGGGGAATGACAACCTGGGACAGCACAGAGGCCGGCAGGAAGGATTGAGGTGAACTCCCGGAGCCCACGACACAGCCCATTCATTCATGGAGCTGCAGCCGCGGCTTCTCAGTCTTCGCTGGCCGGAGTCGCCCCTTGCTCGCCGCTGTGCACAGAGAACTGGGGGAAGGGAGGCGGGCGGCTGAGCCCTCTGCCCTGTGAGCTCGCCAGCCCCTCCTTGGCTAGGACTCTGAAAAGAACTGCGTAGCAGCCAGGGGTAGCGATTGGGAGTGGGGGTGGAGTTCTTGCTCCTATTTCTGGTAGGAGACCCTGAGGCATTTGACAGACTAGTGTAGGAGAACAGGACTAGGTCAGCTTTTTCCCACCCACCTGAAAAAAGACTGCCCTTTTCTCTGCCGATTGTGAGTGGGGCAATCTGTAGCTGAGCCCTGGGAAGCCGGTCCAGTAGAATATAACATGGTTTAATATCCATTCCCTTCAAGAGCTGCCTCCATACTCCTCATCCCCCACCCCACTCACCGTGTGATTTCTGGCAGGCTCGCTAGATAAACCCTCATCACCTGCACGTGGGCTGTTGCTTCAGAACGAGGAGATCCTAGATTTCTCAGCTTTCTGGTTTCTACCACACCCATTTCTTAATACTGTCTTCTGCCCAGTAACCTGAACCTCCTTAAATACGCCACGGAATACTTGAAGTCCTGGAAACGGTTCCTTTGTAAGCAAGTTGGAGTGCCCATTCTTTACCAAGACCTTTCTGTTATCGTTTGCTGTCAAATATAACCTTGATAGTTTCTATTTATTGAACCCTTACTCTGTCTGTATTCCACTGTTAATATTCCCAGCAACCCTATTATTCATTTTATATGAGTCAAACATGTTGCCTCGTGTCACTAGTAAGTGATAGTGGATTTGAGCCTCAGCATGTCTCAGATGTCAAAAACTTGGGTGTGGAAGTGATTCCCCAAAGTATTCTCCCAGTGGGATGAGAACTCAAAATTCATCCACTTCAATAGTCATTTACTGGAATGCTTATCTACTATGTGCCATCCACCATACCAGGAACTTATATCTGTTCTTGTTTAATCTTCATTTACCCAGTGAAAGTAATTGCCACACTTGTCTCCATTTCATAGATGAGGGCACTTAGCTCAGGCAGGCAAATAACTTGCCCAAGGTCATACACTAGAAAATGACAGAGCCAACCTTTCCATCCAGCCTTCAAACCCTGAATCCGATGTTTTTATCACTAAGAAGAATGCCCACTGTGTCTACTCTGCATAGAGTAAATGGTGGAGGGGGGAGGAGGGAGACTGTAGGAAAGTTCAGTTAAGGATGTGTCAGAGAAGTAAGATGAAGGGTAGGAGATGGGCTGAGAAAATGAACTCTCATCAAGAAGAAGAAGAAGGGAGACGTGGAGGTGAGTCAAACCCTGATGCTAGGGTTTAGTTCCATCTGGGCTCCTTAGCAGCCCTTTTTATGTCTTGACTGAAACCCCATCTGCATATCTTTAGTCTCAAGCAGGACACTACCGTCTAGTAGACTCAAATGTGAACCTAGCCTGACAGGACTGTGGAGGACACTCAGACTTTCTGGTGAAAGGTTCTGCTCCTTTATAGCTGGCACCAACCTAGTAGAGTCGTCTGTTGCCTTAGGAGACCCTTGGCCAGGGTCTGGATGGCAGCGATTAAGTGTGACTATCCCTCCTTCCTCAGGCAACAGGGGCTCTGCCTGGGCTGGTCCCCTGCTGCTCTAGGCAAACTCAAACCCTGTCTGTTCAGCTCCAGGCTCCACAGATGAAAGCTGCTGCCCGGCACTGTAAAGGTGGATGAAAGTGGGGGCCGATTTGGGTTAGGCCAGTACTTAGTAATGAGGTTGTCTCACAGTAAATATTTGTGACTGCCATCCATGAAGGTGACTATGCCCAAGATCTGTCGAGCTCTACACCAGGCTGCTTTGCCCCTGTAAGCCTACTGGGCCAGGAAAGCACCACTGAACCTACTAACTGGACTACAGAGGAGGCTGTGGGGCTATCGTTGCACACAGCCCTTCTGAGCTGAAAGTGGGACTGCAGCCTCTCATTTTGGTAACCCAAGTACCATCTAGCCATGGCTTCTTGCTCCTCACAGCCCTGGCTTGGACTGCTGCTTGGATTTGGAATGGTGCCACCAAGGAATAAGAAGGGAAGAAGCCTACTTAAACCCTAAGAGAAAGAGACACTGGATTCAGATTGTTTTCACTCGCAGTTTCACACAGGGAGTCTCCTGTGATAAAGCCAGAGAGAGCTAAAAAAGCCATCAGTGATTGGGCAAGGCCTTTGTCAGTAGCCTGGTATTGTAGAATGAGCCCTGTGCTGAGATTGGGATACCTGAGTTCTAGTCCCCTTTCTGCCACTGATTAGACATGTGACAAATCTTAAAATAGCTCTAAACATCAGTTTTTCCATTTATAAAATCAAGGAAATGGATTAGAAAGTTTCTTACCATTCTCTTAGTCCATGATTCCTGCCCCATCTCAGATACGTAGTTCTGTGAAGAAGGTTGATCCTTTGGGATTGTAGCCAAGTCTTGGAAATGGGCCACAAAGTTAAGTGAGAATGCTTTCTTCATTTAATCCAGAGATGCACAGTGCCTTGCCTTGCCGAGCAGAGCAAATCGGACTGTGTTTTCCCAGCTACTAAAAAGACACACAGATCACAGAATGTTAAACTAAAATGGACCTTGGAGATTATCTGGATTTAATCTCTCACTTTACAGATGTCACTGATGAAGCTCAGAGAGGCACAGTGACTTACGTAAAGCTACATGACTAATTAGTATCAGATACTGTCCTTTCTGACCTCAGTTCGTCAGTCAAAATGACAATGTATGGCTAATTGGCTTTTAAACCTGGGCCTTGAAGATATTTCCAAATACCTGTCTTCTGTGGGCTTGTATGCCGGTGCGACTATACTTTGCTGGATTGGGATAAAGAGGAGTCTTCAATAGCACCTGTCTGCACTTCCTAGTGACTTTGGGTCCCCAATAGAAAATGAGAGAAATGGTCA